TCGGCATTCAGCTCACGTACATGAATCCCCTCTTTTCAGTAGGGCACCTCCTGTCTCAATGTAATTGGCATCCCCTGGTCAAGAGGCCCCTCCAGAGAATGAGCAAGCAGACTTCCCTCAGAGATGGAGAGAGGCAGTGGTCCAGTTGTGCGAAGGAGGGAAAGGGACCTCGGGGTGTAACTTCTCAGACATCATTTGACTCTTGTCTTTTATAGTTAAGCCACCTCCTCCCAGCTCACCCCCAGGCCTAGGCATACCTGGTGCTACCAGTCTTGGGCCTCTTTAAGTCAGCAGTACAAACTGTGTGAGTTCTCAGTTTTCCCCATTATGACCCTAGAATTCAGCTTTCTCAGGTCAGTAAGTTACTCACCACTTTTGTCCTTCCGTTTCCAGCACCATTTTCCCCCCTTGTCTGTGTGAGTTTATGTCTAATTCTGTTATTGTCGGGCTTGGAAGGGAACAAAATTAGTTTCATTTGTTGAGTCTTCTGCCCTCTTTAGTTGTTTCAAGGCAGCCATTATTCTTTCAAAATGGATTCAGAGCCTAATATACTTCTTCAGATGTTATCTCAGCCCTTGTCCTCAAAGTTAGGCTCACGACCAGCATTACTGCATCACCTGAAAGCTTGCTGGAAATGCAGACTCTCAGGCCTCCCTCAGACCAAGTGAATCAGAATCTGCATTTAACAGGATCCTCAGGGATCTCGTATGGCCATGAAAATTAGAGAGGCCCTACAGTTTTTATAATCGTTTGGTTTCCCTTCGCCTGGGGTGGTAAATAAATATGCACAATAGGATATTTTCTTGCTTTTGATTTTAATTTTCAGTTTTATTTCTAAATAGTGTTTCTGCCACCCAATTAGCGGATAAGGTAGAGAAGGCAGTTCTGGAGCGTTTGAAGCCTCTCCTGGTCAAGGCTCAGGTAATCTAGTTCATCCCGTGTGCTTGCCTTTTGGAAGTTTCAAATAAAAAGAGTTGCTCCAGAGGTCACACTGAGCCTTTGCAGGGCTGAGTGTCTGGCGGCTGGAAGCTGCGGTGCTGTTCCGTGCTTCATAGCGTGCGTGCAGTGCTGCTGGGGCCCCTTTGGGGCACCCACACTGTTGATGTGTCTTCCATTGTGAGGAAGGGAACAAGATGGGGGAAGAGAAAGTACCACTTTTGAGAAAGGTGAGATTTTAGTTTGGGGAATGAGTTTCCATTGCAATTTACGTTCTTAATCAAATAGAGCTATTGGTGGTGGTAGTGTTCCGTGCACTGCTTCCACTCTAATCCCGTCATGCTCTTTCACCTCAGTGATTTGGAATGATTTGCTCTATTTTTCCCAAGGAGAGAGATGTTAGGACAGCTTTCTGTGCACAAACCAGTACTTTCTTCAAGATGAAATTGCATAGAGCCTCACCAGTAGGTTGTGCCGTCCTCCTGTAAGCAGTGAGCTGAAGGCTATGGCCAGACCCTGTAGATCCACCCCGAAAATGGAAATAAGCTTGTTTGTGTGAATAGATGAGGCCACAGAAGAGCACTAGAATCTTAAATAGAATGAAGGACATTCTGGGACCCTGAATAGACCACTGAACTTCTGTATCTCTTGGTCTAAGAAATGTTCAATCATTTTTAGAGTCCATGGAAATCTCAGGACTACAGAACTGGGAGGGTTCTTAGTGGCCAAACCGTCCAACCTCCTTATTTTATCAGTGAGGAAACTGTGGAACAGAGAAGTTGAGTAATTGCACAAAAACACACAGCTACTCTGACAGTGTTTACAAAGTTGAGGGAAGAAAAGGGGCAGAAAGCCAAGATCAGCACATGGCATTTATTTTCATGAAGACAGAGTGCTTTGAATTCCCACAAAAAGCCTAATATAGCTAAAGCTGATGAACAGTTCCACACAGAAGTTATTCTGGGAGCAAAATTCATTTGTACTAATATGGATTGTAAATTTTCATAATTTATGAGCATGCTTGTCTGTTTTAATAGAGAGTCAATTCTTCTCTGGAAGCAGATACTCATTTGAAGGATCGACTGTCAGTGATCGCAGCAACAGCCCAGCCTGCGGAGAAGGTGTGTGTTGTGTGGGGCTGGCATTCTAGACTGACACTGGTATTATTGCATGGTAATGTCCTCGGTTGTAAGGAAAACTGATACGCGGATTACCCTGCAAACACTAGACTATCCCACTCCACAGGGTGGAGGTTGTTTTTCATATTTGGCATATTAATTCTTACAGTGTATATTTAGCATTATGACTTAGATGAGGCTTGCAGACGGCTCACAGAAATCTCTAGAGCCACAGGTTTTTGTCAGCGGCTTTTTCCTTTCCTCCTGATGACAGAATGTGGGTAGACTGCGTGACCCTGAATGTTGATGGCCTGCGGCAGAAGAATGGCTGCCCTCATTTCCTCTGATTCAGCCTAGTTTTGCTCATTACTGGCCTAATTTCCTTTATACTGAGGGCCTAATATTTCTTGTTAGGCAAGCATATTTTGAGTGCCTAATAATGACCAGTACCTGGCCTGGCAGAGAGAAGAGGTGGCTCAGGAACAAATGATAACATTTGAGAAGAATGGAAACATATCTTGTGGTTGTCCACCCTTGTGCTCTTCCTCCGGAGGACTTGTGTTCAGCATCTGTGGGAATGTTCCCACCTTGCCTAGGCGTAGGGACGGGGAGGTGCAGGCTGCCTCTAGTGGGTCTTTGTGGAGGTTGGAAAGAAGTTACTGCTTTACATGCTCAAAGCAAGTAAAGGGCAGAGCAAGGGTGAAGGTCTCAGAGTTAGAAGGAAGTTGGAATGAAGTTCCACCAGCCCAACCTTAGGAACAGAGAATGTATCCCTGTTCTAATTTATTAAGCAATAGTTTAGTTTTGGTGTATTTTCATAATTTTTGCAATTGTAATTTTATTGTACCAATATTTTGTGACAGAATCTCACGTGAGGTGAGGCTTCTGAGACCGGAAGCTGAAAGCCTACCTCTGACTCGTACAGACTGGGCACGCTATGGCTGGATGCTTTGTGCATCAGAGCCACCAAATACCTTTTTCCCTAGCAAAAAATGAGACTAGCCGCTCATCTAGGGAGGCAGCTCCATAAGGCATATTAATATGACAGAAATATGAAGTGGACATAAATGCTGTCAGTGAAGTAAACATGTTTGAATATTACTAGAAATGATCATTCTTATATATAAGAATCATTCTGTAGGCATTAAATGGGCTTTAATACAATCTCTTGAAAAAGAAAAGTAACTCTATCCAGTATTCAGTATTCTGGGCTGCTGTTAAACATCAGCATCACTGCACAGAATTTCCCAGGCAGCACCATCAACAGTCAGTTTTTATAAATAACTGAATAAAAACCAACTCATAGGGCTTCCCTGGTGGCGCAGTGCTTGAGAGTCCGCCTGCCGATGCAGGAGACGCGGGTTCGTGCCCCGTTTCGGGAAGATCCCACATGCCGCGGAGCGGCTGGGCCCGTGAGCCATGGCCACTGAGCCTGCGCGTCCGGAGCCTGTGCTCCGCAAATGGGAGAGGCCACAACAGTGAGAGGCCCGCATAACGCAAGGAAAAAAAAAAAAAAAAAAAAAAAAAACCAACTCATTGAAGTTGGCATGATGAAGTAAAAAGAGTTATTTTGCTGTGTTAACTTATAAAAGAGCTGTGGAACCTTGAACACCTATTCCCAGAGTTCTCATCTCTCAAATGGAGAAGACGTTTGCTGCGCTTTGCAAGTAAACTGAAGCTCTCGGTAGTTTTACTTGCAGACAAGATGATCCCTGATATCAGGAAAAAGTTTTTGGAAGGGTGCCATCATGTTTGTCTCCTGCTGCTGTTATTGTCATGAACTGAACTTGTATGTGAAATACATTTTTCCAAAGTGTGGTTTTTTGTTTTTAATTAAAAGTTGTATATGCACATGTCTAAAAATGCAAACAATTCAGAAAAAGTGTAATGTAAAAAGTAAAAGCTCTCCACAAACGGATACCATATGCTCTGCTGTATCCAGCTTCTTTCTTTATATTTTGGTGATCTTTCCATACCAGCATATTGGGACCTTCCTTATCTCTCATCTCATAGTATTCTTGATATTCAATTCTTTAAATATTAAGAATGAAAATACAAATAAAGACTTCTTAACCAGACCTGTATTATTGGTTTAGTTGTCTCTAGATTTTTTTGTTAATTTTATTGTATTGGTTATTCAACTGATATTTATTTCTTTAACTTTGGTTAAGGTTAAGCATTTCTTTATATCTTGATTGGCCATTAATATATTTTCTTCTGTGAACCGTTGATTAAAAGGGTTTAAAAATTACTATGGCGGTAACTGTTCTTCGTGCCAACCACTATTATAAGTGTTCCAATGTGCAAATGCTCATGTAATCCTTACAACTCTGAAATATAGGATTATTATTTCCATGTTACAGACCAGAAAGTTGAGGCCCAGAGAGGTGAAGTAAACTTGTCCACACTTGGAGGCATACCAGTAGGAAGAACCAAGATTTAGTCCCAGGAACGTCTCATTCCAGAGCCTGATACGATTATTCCCCCAGCAGACATTCTTTGTAAAAGCCTCTTTCAGAGCAGATTGTAGACATATATTAGAATCAAAAGAAATAACAACACATATAAAAATGCTTTGCAAGCTGTGAAGTGAATGTAAAGAATACAAGGTCAAGAAAGGCTGGTAAAGCTCTTCCAGGTTATAGGTAGAAAGTCTCAAGCAAAGGCAAGAATCGTGAACTTTTGTGATGTCATGAACAGATGTTTTTACAAAGCACTGAACCAAAAAGAGAATACTGTAGGTATGTCCTCTGTAGTATGTGACATGTGAAACATTGGACATTCTTCTGAGTATAGCGCAAGGAATATATTTGCTTTACCAACTGGCAAAACAGGTAATGAAGATAATTCCCATGGACAGTAGTGGTACTCCTCAGTTGATGTTACTGTTTAAATGACTGTGGTAGAAATTGTACTGATGTCACTGCCCTTGATGTTTACTGACTTAGGAGAGGTTAGATTTAGTGTAGAAACTGCGTGTTGGATCACTGCGTGGTTGGTTTATTATGATTAGCATTAATCTTTAAGATCTCTGTTATTTTTGTATTGCCTTTCCATCCCCTTCCCTTGTTTTGCAGGCTACAGCTATTGATTGTGAATCCAGTAGCATTCATCAGCTGGATGATTTTTTGGAAGATGCCGCTCACGAGCTCTGGGCTGTGACTCACTCTAAGATCTCGGAGCCTGAGGCCTTAGCCACCTGGGGGGACAGCAAGGACAGCCCGTGTCTGGAGGCCATGATGCTCCGCATGGAGGAAATGGAGGTAAGGCCGGGACTGCCAGCTCTGGTCGGCGGCTGGCGGCTGACTTCTGCCGAGCGCCACTTCTCCTCATGGCTCTGTAGCTTAGAACTTCAGAGTCACCTGGTCCTGAGTTTAAATCCCAGCTTGACTGCCAGCCCAGTGTACGGCCTTGGTAAAGTCCTGTACCCTCTCTAATAAGTAGGGAGCTTTTAAGGACAACATGAGGTATGAAATATCAGCACCCTACCTGACACATAACTCGTCGTTGGTGTGGGATACGAAAGGCACTGGACCAGAGCCCAGGCCCACAGATGTGACCAACAACTTAACTTCTTCATCCCTCAGCTTGTAAATGCTGTTCAGTTGCCTCCTCTGCTCTGCTAGCATGTGATCCTGGCAAATCACAGTTAACTTTACCTTCTCTAATTCCCATGATATTACTTTAGGACGCTTTTCTCAAAGAATTTTAGACCTCAGACATTACTCAGGCCAACCCCTGGATTGTTCTGAGCAGGAAATTGAGACCCAATAAGGGAGTAAATGATGTGGCCAAGGTCACACAAAAATTCCCACCAGAGGTGGGCTGAGAATCAAGGTCTCCTGACTCCTAGTTCAGCATTTTCTTTTTAACTCCACCATGATAAAATCTCATTTTGGCTTTGCTGCTAAACAGAAACATTATAGGGAAGGCAACTTTTAGTTGGTTTTTGAAATTTTTTAAATGTGTAGTTTATCCTAGTCTTGTAACTGATTTCCCCTCGTTAACTGTCTAGACCTGAAGGGTCCAAAATGGTAGTCTCTAGCCACAGATGGCCATTTAATGTAAATTAATTAAGATTAAATACACTACTCACATTTCAAGTGGTCAATAGTTAGTAGCTGGTACATTGGACATGGCAAAAATAGAACATTTCCATCATCACTTCAAGTTCTAGTGGGCAGTGCTGGTCTAGATTAGATTAATTAGATTAATTGCTTCATTTTCTGTTACATTTCATCTCATGAACTAATCACTTCCTGGCCCTGGAAGATGCCTATTTCTGGCAACGTGTCTATAGGAAATGTCTGCTGTACTAGTCTCTGGTTTGTAATGAAACTAATTTTTTTCCTCATAAATTATACTTGTTTTTTTTTTTTTTTTTTTTTTAAAGAAATACCAGGAGACGGTTCGCCAAAGATATAATAAAATTGTATTTACTGATCCCAAAAATTTATTTTTTTTTTTTTTTTTTTTTTTTTTTAAAGAAATACCAGGAGACGGTTCGCCAAAGATATAATAAAATTGTATTTACTGATCCTCATCTTTGGATGCAGGAAGAAAAAAATGGTGAGTGTTTCCCCACTTTTTCCCTCGACATTATATTCTGAAAAATTTCAAACATACAGAAAAGTTGAAAAAATTCTGCAGTGGACACCCATATACGCATCCTCTAGATTCTACAATTAAAATGTTGCTGTGTTTGCTTTATCATATGTCTACTTATCCTCTGTGCATCCATCAATCCATCTTATTTTTGGTTGCATTTCAGAGTAATTTGAAGACATCAGTACATCTTATCTGAAATATTTCAACATTTGTTATCACTAAGTAGGGCTTAATATTTATGTATGGCTCTTTTTCCTTTTGAGATAAAATTCACATATAATAAAATGCACAGATCTTAACTTATTAAGTGTTAACTTATTAAGTGTTATTTGATGGGTTTTGACAGACGGGCATACCTTTGTTACCCAACACTTCTCTCAAAACAGAGCTTCTCATCACCGTGGAGAGTTCCCCTATGCTCCTTTCCTGTCAGTTCCCCACCACCCAGGCAACCACTGTGCTTTTTTTTTTTTAACTATAGATTAGTTTTGCCTGTTTTAGAATTTCATATAAATGGAATCATACATGTATTTACTCTTTTGTCTAAGGCTTCTTTCATTTAGCATGATATTTTATAAATTTATCTATTACTTGTTTCCTATTGCCACAGTAACAAGTTTGTAACAAGTTAAAGCACAAATTTAGCAGTTTAAAACAAATCTTTTCTCTTACAGTTCCTGGAGGTCAGAAGCCTGAAGTGAGTCCTAAAGGGCTAAAATCAAGGTGGTGGCAGGGCTGGTTCCTTCTTCCAGCTTCTAAGGCTGCCTGCAGTCCTTGGCTTGCAGCCATATTACTTCACACTGCTTCTGTTGTCACATTGCCTTCTCCTCTTCTGAGCCAAATCTTCCTCTGCCTGCCTGTTATAAGGACATGTTGATTACACTTAGGGGCCACCCCAGTGATCCAGGTTACTCTCCCCATCTCAAGATCCTTAAAGTCCCTCTTGCCATAGAGGGGACATTTAACAGGTTCCAGGGAATAGAATGTGGAGCCAGTGTGCAGCCTACACTTTGTATCAGTGTTCATTCCTTTTTATTGCTGAGTAGTATTCCATTGTACGCATGTACCACATCTAGTTTATCCATTTGCCTGTAGATCTGCATTTGGTTATTTCTAGTTTGGGGCCATTAGAAATAAATCTGCTATGGGTGTATTCATGTATAGTCTTTGTATGGACATAAGTTTTCATTTCTCTTGGATAAACACCTGAGTAGACTTGCCAGGTTATGGGATAGGTACGTGTTTAACTTTATAAAAAACTGCCAAAGCTTTCCCCAAAGTGGCTGTACCGTTTTACACTCCCATCTACATTGAGTTCCTGTTGCTAGAGATCTTTGCCAGTATTTGAATTGTCAGTCTTTTTCATTGTAACCATTCTGGTGGGCCTGTAGCAATATCTCTTTATGGCTTTAATTTCATTTCCTTGGTGAATAATGATGTTTAGAACATTTTCAAGTAATTATTAGTCATTTGTATGTCTTCCTTTGTGAAGTTTCCAAATCTTTTGTACATTTTAAGAAATTGGCTTGTCTTTTTATTTTTGAGTTGTAGGAATTCTTTATGCATTGTGGGGTTGAGTTCTTTGTCATATATATATATATATATATATATATATATATATATATATATATATATAGTTTGTTTTCAAAACAGTTTTATTGGATGTAATTCACATACCATAAAATTTACCCTTTTAAAGAGTTCAGTAATTTTTAGTATATTTACAGAATTGCGCAGACGTCATTGCTAATTCCAGAACATTTTCATCACTGAAAAGAAGCCCTGCATCCATCACCCCTCATTCTCCCTCCCCTCATCCCAGCAGTCACTAATATCCTCCAGCGAATATCTGCAAACATTCTTCCCCATCTATAGCTCACGTATTCGTTTTCTCAAATGTGTTTTATTATGAGCAGACATTTTAAATTTTGATAAAGTCTAACCTGTCCATTTTTTCTTGTATAGTTTTTGCTTTCTCTGATCTAATAAACCTTTGCCTCCTCCCAAGTTGAGAAGAGAGACTCTTGTTTTCCTCTAGAAGCTTTATGGTTTTAGCTTTTATGTGTAGGCCTATGATCCATCTTGAATAAAAGTTTGCCTGTGGTTTGAGGTAGAGGTTCTTTTTTTTCCCACTAATGTCTATCCACTTGTTCTTGCTCTGTTTGTTGAAAAGACTTTCACTTTTCTCTTCCACTTTAAAAAATTCATACATATGCGTTTTGGCTGCAGTTGCTAGGCTACTATCACAATTTGGGCTGGGAAGTGTTACTCAAATTCTCTTTGACACATGCTTATCAGTTATTACTTTACTCAGTGAAAGGAGGAAAATAAAATATGGTTAAACATTGCCTCTAAAGGAATTTCAGTACTATGAGTATTAAGTAAAGGAAATTGTGGATATAGAAGGTTTACAACAGCAGCTTATGTATATATACTTTTTTTAGAGTATGAGTTTTGGGTATTGTCTTAGGAAAAGTATTCTCCATGTCACATTTTGACAGAAAGATGAGCCATCTAAACAAAATACCAAATTTGTTCCTTTTGTCTTCTGTAATTTTTCCAGCGCTATTCTTTGTTCATGTCGTTCTCTCTTTCCCCCAGTCCTACTCCAGCTTCCATTTTCATCCTCACATGACAGTTGAACCATTCTTCGAGGCCCGGCTCACGTGATCCTACTTGGCTGTGCTTTTCCTGGCTTTCCTGGGCTAGAACTTTGCTCCCTTCCTGTGAACTCCCATAGACTTTTGGCATGTCCTACCCTGTTAGAGCTCTTTATCTCTCCCAAAGAAGCCACAGAATCTTTGAGGCCAGAGAGTTTTGTCATATTCAGTTGTGTCCCAACGGTACCTAGCATGGGCCTGGCACAGGTAGGACCCTTCTAATCATTGCTTAGTGAATCAGCGGGCATCTTTTCGTAAGGAAGCAGAGGAGAGGGAAATGTTGAAGGGCGACTGTTTCACTGATGGTTTGGCCAATGGCCACAGTCAGGTTGCATCATGCAGAAGACAGCCTTACCAAGGACTCGGTGTTCTCTTTTTCAAGGACAATTTAAATTGTTAGTCACTATCTCTGACTCTGCTAGAGTCTAGGTTTGCATTTAAAAGGAGCTCTGAAATGAATTTTTGGACACTTTAAATCCAGAATCATGAAATCCTCATAAGAACCCTCTGTTTCTAATTGTTCTGATTGTATGTTCAGTTGCATCACAAAAAACAAATTTAAAGTGATTTTTGAATTGTGCAGTGTCGAATCTATATCTCTTATCTTCTCTTTTTTGAAATCAATTGAAAATTGATTGTACTCTCAGTAATATTTTCTAATATTCTTTTTTTTTTAGATGTTGGGGGGAGGAGTTTATTAATTTATTTTTGCTGTGTTGGGTCTTCGTTTCTGTGCGAGGGCTTTCTCTAGTTGTGGCGAGCGGGGGGCCACTCTTCATCGCGGTGCACGGGCCTCTCACAATCGCGGCCTCTGTTGTTGCGGAGCACAGGCTCCAGACGCGCAGGCTCAGTAGCTGTGGCTCACGGGCCTAGTTGCTCCGCGGCATGTGGGATCCTCCCAGACCAGGGCTCGAACCCGTGTTCCCTGCATTAGCAGGCAGATTCTCAACCACTGCACCACCAGGGAAGCCCCTCTCAGTAATATTTTTACAAAAACTGACTTATGCAGTATTTCTGAGCGTAAAAAATCATAAGCATATAAATATGTGAGTCAGAGATTCTACATTTTTAAATTAGTTACCTATTTTATACATATTAGTATATATATGTCAATCCCAATCTCGCAATTCATCCCCCCCACCCTGCTTTCCCCCCTTGGTGTCCATATGTTTGTTCTCTACATCTGTGTCTCTGTTTCCGCCTTGCAAACCGGTTCATCTGTACCATTTTTCTAGATTCCACATAAATGCGTTAATATACGATATTTGTTTTTCTGTTTCTGACTTACTTCAGTCTGTATGACAGTCTCTAGGTCCATACACATCTCTACAAATGACCCAATTTCATTCCTTTTTATGGCTGAGTAATATTCCATTGTATATATGTGCCACATCTTTATCCATTCATCTGTTGATGGGCATTTAGGTTGCTTCCATGACCTGGCTATTGTAAATAGTGCTGCAATGAACATTGGGGTGCATGTGTCTTTTTGAATTATGATTTTCTCTGAGTATGTGCCAGTAGTGGGATTCTACATTTGAAAGGCATTTAAAATGATAAGTAATCCAAAACTCAAAAGAGCGGTCAAACCTGTAAGGTATAGTTAATAAGTTAAATGCTTTGACTATCATCATGCAGATTTTTCCAACGAAGCCCAGAGACAAATTAAATCAGCTAATTAAGTGTTCAGGTGTGAGTGTTTCTTTTCCTTCTCCAGTAATCAAATCATTTAAAGGTTAAAAAACAAACCCAACTGCTTAAGACTCCTCAGAATGGGGGCTGGATCCTAATGGAACCTGGCTTTGCACAGACCTCTTCAAAGAGTCTTCCAAAGAGCTGACAGAAGCTTTTAAACAAGTTCTTTATTTCTTAAAACTGACTCCTCATTGGTTTGTTTCTTGGTAACTTTTATTTTTTTATTTTTTAACGACAGTCCCCTTAATATTATTTATTTATTTATTTATTTTTTGGCTGTATCGGGTCTTAGTTGCGGCATGCGGGATCTTCTGTTGCAGCACGTGGGCTCCTCACTGGTGCGCAAGCTTCTCTCCAGTTGTGGCATGTGGGCTCTCTAGTTGTGGCGCGTGAGCTCCAGAGCGTACAGGCTCAGTAGTTGTAGTGCTCGGGCTCTCCAGTTGTGGTGTGCAGGCTCTGCACTTGTGGCACACAGGCCGAATTTCCCCGCAGCATGTGGGACCTTAGTTCCCCGACTAGGGATCGAACTGGTGTCCCCTCTATTGCAAGACAGATCCTCAACCACTGGACCACCACGGAAGTCCCTCTTGGGGACTTCTAAATTCCCCTTTTCATTTAAAACAAGGGCACTTTTTTCCCTTTGTACTGCTCATGCAACCTTTATGCTTAAGAGATGTGCCCATGACTTCCTCACAGGTTATTGGCCACCAAGACAGCTCTGATATACACACCAGCATTTCTTTATATGCAGTCATTTTATGCTTCTCCTTTTCTAGACCAAAAAATCCCAGCAGTAAGTGAAAGGCATCTTTCTCCTCATCCAATCAGGATCACAAAGACAGCAGCTCGCAAAGACCCAGATGTGAACATCGTGTTAGAAAGGCCCTGCAATGGCACGTAAGTGGTAATGAGACTGTCTGATTTCATTGTAGTTGGTTACCTTTGATGTTGTTAGATTTCACATTCCTTCGATTACCACAAGACAGAGAGAGATTCTTCTTTTGACCAAGATCTTGACAAACTCCAAGATGGCCCAGTAAAATAGTAGTGCATATAAGATGGGCATTGAGTGTGTTGCATCTTAAGGATCCTTTCAGTAACGTTTAACTGGTTTTTACGATTGAAAGCATGACACTGGCACAGGTGATTGTGCAGGTAATTACTGCAAGATCTGATTTAAGAATTCTTTTGTCCGTGGGACACATGTTCCTCCTGTGTGGAGGGTTAGTCCGGTGTAAAGGAGAAACAATGAGTGGGGATAAGATGTTGCATTTTGTTCAGTGTGAGGAAGGGAAATGGAGGTAAACCTTTGGTTGTCAAACCATCAGGGTGAATTAACAGTTTACCCTCGCTTGCAGATGATTTTGAATGCTCTCATCATTTTTATTTGCTCTCAGTTCCCTAGATGAAAGTGTGGGAACAGAGGAGAGACCAGAGAAAAGAGAGAATCCCCTTCTGTCCCTTTCAGAAGATGCTCAGCAGAAGGAAGGCCGAGCTGGCCTCTTTGTCCCGCGGGGCATGCGGCGCAGCATCGGTGACTACTGCCGCCGCTTCGAGCAGTACCTCCGGGTTACTGCACACGAGGCTGTGGGCTCCTTCAACCCGTGGCTGATAGCTGAAAGGTCAGTAGAAGGTTTGTGCTTTGTTGAGGAACTGGGTGCCACATGTCAACTTACGGAAAGGCTGGAGAAAGGCCTGGCCAGGGTCTCAGGCTGTGCTTTTGCGCCCTGGGGTTCCAGTGGCTGCTTCGGGGCTAGTGAACAGGCTTTCTCTGCTAAATGCCTCTCTTCAGGGAGAGGAGATGGGAAAACTGCATGGCTGATGGCATCCAAGGGAGCGTTCTGCAGACTCCCCTCCTTAGGTAGAGGCACAATATTCAAGTCAGGACAGGTTTCCTGTTGCTGTTACTGAGGGCTGTGTCATCAGAGAACACAGATTATTACTGGGCAGGAAACAGTTATGATCATGAAATCTTCACGGTCGGGACAAACTTACAGTAGGGGGCTTCCCTGGTGGTGCAGTGGTTGAGAGTCCGCCTACCGATGCAGGGGACACGGGTTCGTGCCCCGGTCCGGGAAGATCCCACATGCCGCAGAGCGGCTGGGCCCGTCAGCCATGGCCGCTGAGCCTGCGCATCCGGAGCCTGTGCTCCGCAACGGGAGAGGCCACGGCAGTGAGAGGCCTGTGTACCACAAAAAAAAAAAAAAAAAAAAAATCCTTACAGTTGGAGCAGCAGGCCTACAGACTTTGCTACACTTAACCTCCTCCTTCTAGCTGTCACCTCCCCTGAGAAGGGGAGTTTTGTGGAGTCAGAAAACAGTCCCACTGCTACTAAATATCTGAAGAATGGGTAGCCTTCTTTTATGTAAATAGTTAATTGAAAGATGTGTGTAAATTCCTTCTTTTAAAATGGAGCCCAAATTTAAATTCCTCATGAGCATCACTTTATTACATACATGCAGATAATCTTCATCATTGAGCCAAGCAGTATATACCATGATGACATTTCTTTCTTGAACAAGTTTCAAGCATATTCCAGGAGTTAATAATTGCCTCTTTTTAATTTGCCTATTCTTTTATGTATTTGTTATTGTTCCCCACATACTAGCCAACACGTCTGAACATAATTTTCCTCATGATCAGATATGCTGATCTCTGTTTCTCACCTCCACCCCCGACTCTTTCTCCTGAGGCCCTCTTTCCTTCTGTCTCAGTCAGGCCCAGCCGCTTTCTAGGTCTGCAGTGTGGTTCTTGTCCTGGGAACCACACTGAGTGTGAGATTCTCCCTCCCATGTTAGGGTCCTTGTTTTCTGTTTGCACGTGTCCTCCTCTTTCTTGGTTTACTCTCTTACTCTGATGGAGCCTGTACTGCTTTGTGTATTAGAGGACATTTCTTGAGACTTAACATGTTTGACGGTGTCTATCTTCATACTTATTGATGATTTGGCTGGATTTTAAATTACTGGTTTATTACTTTATTTATTTATTTTTGGCTGTGTTGGGTCTTCGTTGCCGCACGTGGGCTTTCTCTAGTTGCGGCCAGCAGGGGCTACTCTTCGTTGCGGTGCGTGGGCTTCAGGTTTAGCCTGAAGTCCTGGGGCTTCTCTTAGTATACATACCCTGCAAAGCATAAGAGACCCTTTGCTCTGTTGAGATGCGCATTTATTTTCTGGAGAGGAGAGTAGGTGCACTTGACTTGCTTCCGTGTGTTAGCACGCAGCCCTGTAGCACACTCGCTGGTTTGCACAGAACCAGTCTGGATTGGTCAGGCTAACTGGCATCTTGGGAAATCCAAAATAAGCTAAGGAAGATAGACTGTTCCTTGTATGTTCTTACCACGTGATTAACGATACATTTTGTTCATAGTTGTTTTGTAGATGTTGGGAAAAGCTCTCTCAGTCTATAAGGACTAATAGGTTAAGATGTTGAGGTCAGATCTATTAAAATACACCTGAATTTCACGGATGTTCTCTTCTCCTGTCCTTGACCCTCAAGTGACAGCACATCTAAATATTCTAGCTCTGTTTTTGATCTCCCTTGTTTTGTTTCTTATTTGAGTGTTCCAAAGATGAGAAGTATATTGATCAAATCTTGAAAAAGTATCCAAAGACAGTTGACTTCATCTGATAGCCTCTGGGTGAAGGAGAAGTAAGCTGAGTTTTTCTCTTTCTTTTAATGTCTCCACTCCTCCCTCCGCGTGGAGAAAAGCACTGTTCCAGTGGTCAAATGAGGCAGGTGATATAAACTGCATGTAAATAAAAGAGTGATTCTGGAAGGGGAGGCTTAAGGTGATAATGCTTTTAATGAAAGCAAACTCTTAAATGTTCCTTGTTTGAAAAACAAATCAGGAGACTTCTGGTTGAAAAGGACAGATTGAGGACTTCCCTGGTAGCGCAGTGGTTGGGGGTCCACCTGCCGATGCAGGGGACGTGGGTTCGTGCCCCGGTCCAGGAAGATCCCACATGCCATGGAGCGGCTGGGCCCGTGAGCCATGGCCACTGGGCCTGCGCATCCGGAGCCTGTGCTCCGCAGCGGGAGAGGCCACAGCAGCGAGAGGCCCGCGTATCGCAAAAAAGAAAAGAAAAGAAAAGAAAAGGACAGATTGAACATATGATTTATCTCTACTCTCTATATCCCTAGCCCACTCTATGCCACTGAAAGACTAAATAAAAGGCATGAAACCATAGATGACAGCAAATAAGAAATAGCAAGAAAATTTTGGAAGCCATGAAGCAGTTAGACAAATGGCAAGTGACTTAGCAGACCAGAGAGAGCCAAGTGCCTGATGAGGGTGGAGCCAAGACCCTAGCTGATTTGTGCAGAAGAACCTTGGTGAGACTCAGGAATGAGGAGCACTAGATGCATGGGTCCAGAGATCCAGACATTTGCTGAAAACCATGAAAGCTACATAGGCTATTATAACAGAGAAAACATCTGAATAATAGGAGTTCCAGAATGTGAAAACAGGGGAAAAGGAGGAATGGAAAATTATTGAGGAAATACTATAAGAAAAATCCTCAGAAGGTTGTTAGTCTCTAGATTGAAAGGGTTCACCAGTTGCCCACTGTGAGTGAGTGAGTGAGTGAATAACTGAATAAATAAACAGAACAGAACAGATCACGGCATGTTGTTGTACAGAGGATAGGTGGGCATCCCAATGTAAGGAGAAGATGACAGAAGGTTCCAGAGAGTTAAAACTGGGCACATTCAAATAATCAGAAGTGAGAATGGCATATTGTTGTCAGTAGCAACCCTGCTAGAAGATATTAGAGTATGCTTCCCATATTTACCCTAGAATTCTGTGCTCAGCTAAATTATTGATTAAATAAAAGGGTAGAATAAAGACAGTTTAAGGTATGCAAAGTGTCCAAAAATGTAGTACCCATGCACTGTTTCTTAGTAAGCTACCAGAGGGTGTGTGCCACCAGCACAAGGTGCACACTGAGAAAGAGGAAGACGGGATTTAGGAAACTTAAGACTCCAACATGGAACTTGCAAGAAAATGGGAAAAGCTATTTCTAAGAGAATTTTTCAGTGAGCATAGAAAACAGCTAGTCTAGATTGGAGTCAGGAGGACAGAGGGCTCCAGGAGGAGTAGTTTCCAGCGGGGAAGCCAGCGTGAGGAAGGTTAAAAAAGAAGAAGAAAACAGATACGTTACCTCATGTGTTTGAACGTATTGGGAGCACCTTTGTGTTTCTCTCATAGTTTGGGGATGAATTAGTGATAGGAATATAGGAAGCAAAGCAAGCATAAAAAGAAAGTAAGCACTTCTGCTTCTAGTAATGACACACTCGGTAATTTGGACCGCCTCTCCCACTGAGGATAACTGTTAATAGAAAAGCTAGGTTAAAAATAAAACATATATGCTTGAAGGCACCAGGAAGTTAACTAGGTAATGAAGAAAAACTGGGCCAGGATCCTGAGGAGACAGAGACCCAGGGAAGTTAGCCCTTGTCTGGCACTGGATTGGCGGTTCTGGAGGAAGATGAATGGCCCTTTCAATGGCCTTTTCAGATCAGAGGACAGAGGTGGAAATTAAGGGCTTGCCAAGGGCAGGGAACTGGCCCGATGAACTTTGCTCGTTTCTGATTGGGACCCTGAAGGGTGGCACTCTGGAATAAGGGTGGCCGGGATGCCGGCAGACCCTCTCAGGACTCCACTCAGCTCCACGTCATCTCACTTCCTGAGATTGCGTTGTGGTGATTCTAGATTGTTGCCCCGCAGGCACCGAGCAGAAGCAAACTTAACTTTTCTCTGAAGATTTATAATATCATCTTAGGATTGAAATTATTTCTGCAATTTTCAAATTCAGTGTCTGGTATATGGTTAAAAAAAAAAAAAAAAAAAAAAAACAGGCAACAGAGAGACATGACAATAACAAGAACCAGACCCACAGCAGCTCCACATATTAGAGCCACTGGGCACAGATATTGGAATAACTGTGCCTACTATGTGCATAGAGATAAAGGACACAATTTAGAATTTTGGCAGAGGACTGAGAACTAAAGTAAATCCACGTGGATGTTCTAGAACTGAAAAATACAAATTCTGAAATGAGCAACTCATTGGATGGGCTTAACAGCCAATTAGACACATCAAAAGAAAAAATTAGAGCCTTTTGGCTCTCTGAGCAGCACCATGGCGTCAGCAAGAACAGGCGTCTTATGAAAGGCGGCCAAAAGGGAGCCAAGAAGTGGTTGACCCATTTTCTAAGAAAGATTGGTATGATGTGAAAGCACCAGCTATGTTCAACGTAAGAGATATTGGGAAAACACTAGTCACGAGAACTCAGGGAACCAAAATCGCATCTGACGGCCTCAAGTGTTGTGTTTCTGAAGTGACCCTTGCTGATCTGCAGAATGATGAGTTTGCATTTAGAAAATTCACGCCAGTTACTGAGGATGTTCAGGGCAAAAACTGCCTGACTAATTTCCGTGGCATGGATATTACCCATGACGAAATGTGCTCCCATGGTCAAAAAAATGTCAGACCATGATTGAAGCTCACATTGATGTCAAGACTACCGATGGTTATTTGCTTCATCTATTCTGTGTGGGTTTTACTAAAAAATGCAACAGTCAGATTCGGAAGACCTTTTATGCCCAGCACCAGCAGGTCCGCCAGATCCGCAAGAAGATGAGGGAAATCATGACCCGAGAGGTGCAGACAAATGACTTGAAAGAGGTGGTCAATAAATTGATTCCAGACAGCATTGGGAAAGACATAGAAAAGGCCTGCCAATCTATTTATCTGCTCCACGATGTCATTGTTCGAAAGGTAAAAATGCTGAAGAAGCCCAAGTTTGAATTGGGAAAACTCATGGAGCCACTTGGTGAAGGTAGTTGTTCTGGAAAAGCTACTGGGGACGAGGCAGGTGCTCGAGTTGAACGAGCTGATGGACATGAGCCAAGGATCTGCTGAAAATTCAGACTTCTAATGGTGACAAATAAAAGATCTTATCTATGAAAAAAAATTTAGAGACTTGGGACATAGGACAGAAGAAAATATCCAGTGTGACGCACGGAGACACACAAAAAGATGAAAATAAAGAAGAGAGGATGAGGGACATGGAGGATAAAGGGACAAGGTCTAATATCCATGTGGCTGGAGTCCCAGAAGGAGAGGAGAGAGGGAGAATGGGGCAGAAACCACATCCATAGAGAGAACGGCTGATAACTTCCCCAAATAACAAAAGACATCAAGCCATAGATTCAAGAAGCTCTAAATGCCCCAAGCAAGAAAAATAAAAGAAATCCATATGTAGCATATCATAGTATTGTTGGAAAATGAAAGACAAAGAGAAAATCTTAAAATCAGCCAGAGGAAGGAAAAAGGAGAAACAGAAACAATGGAAGCTGGATGACCTGGTGTAGTTTTTAAAGTTCTAAAAGAGAAAGCTACCAGTCTGGGTCTAAGCCCAGTGAAATGTGTTTCAAGAAGGAAGGCAATAAAGGTTCTAAACAAAGCTGAGAACATTTATTACCAGTAGACCGTCACTATAGGAAACATTAAAAGGGTATTTTTCAGGCAGAGCAAAAACAGTCACAGATGAAAAGTCAGAAATACGGGAAGGCATGAATTAAGAAAAAGTCAACATGTAGGTAAGTGAATATTGACTGTATAAAACAAAAAACTGATGTCTTATGGGTGTGTGTATATATGTATATATACATCTGAAATCCATGATAAAAATAACATATAAATTGGGAAGGGGATAAATAGAGTTAATATTCTAATAAGGTTCTTGCATTGTCTGGGAAAATGGTAATATCAATTAATGTTAGACTTTAAGTCAAGGATGCTTATTGTAATCTAGAGTGGCCACTAAAAGAATAGTAAGAGTGTTTAAAATCCAAGTTAATAGTGAGGAAAGAATGTAATTAACAATCACAAAATCCTAAAAAAGGCAAGAAAGAAGAGAGAACAAATAGACAAATAGAAAGTACGTAGTATTCTAGTAGTAGAAGCTCAAATATATCAGAATTACATTAAGTGAAAAAGAACTATACCCACCAATTAAAAGGCGAAAGATTGTCAGATTAGCCAAAATAAAACAGCTGGGACAGGAATCGGGGTAGAAGGGATGAGAGAAGGGGAAGGACACTTATCTTCGTTTACCTCTTTTGTATAATTCTGACTTTTGGAACTGTTAATGTTTCCTGTACATCCCTCCAAATCATCAAGGATGGGGGGCGGCAGTGGAGGTTGACCCTAAATTGGAATACAAAAAGAAATATGACCCTAACTGTATTTCCAAGAAATAACCATACTAAAGGGATACATACAGATAAGGCCTTGTCTGAGTTACTTTTGAATGCAGTATTTTGACTCTGTACCTTCTGGCTAAAGACAAAAAGACTGTAAACACATATTAGATTCTAATAAGTAGGTTTCTTTTATCCAGCAGCATGGGTTAACAATTCTAAAACTACTTTCTCTATATTTTAGGGTTGATCAAGTAAATAAGTATATTGTGAATAATGGTTCTTCCCCCAGGTTTCTGGGGGAAGGCTAGAATGAATCCCCTGTTTTGAAGTGGGATTGGAGGTATTATGAATGTATGGTTTTTGACAGATATAGAAATAGACATGGGGTGTGTGTCTATGTGTCTGTTTGTCTGTCCGAACCTATCTGCTGAGAGGGCCTAGAAGCGATGGCACACTTAGTAGCAATGGGCACACTTAGTACCCAGATTTTGGTTTCTAAATACTCTTCTCCATGTAAAGGTACCAGGGCTCCTTGGAGAAATAGCCGATTCCAAGACTGGGGCTGGGAAAATGTAAGATGAGGCTGAAACATCATCTTGTGGCAGAAAGGAAGTGTTCAAAGAATGATGGGGACATGTCAAGAGGACCTGGGAGCTGGCTTGAAGGGGCTCCTACTGGCCAATCTGGGACACTTTGAGTATCAAAATAAGTAACAGTAGAAACAGATTACAAACTGTTGAATAAAATAAGAATGTGTAAGACCAAGCCGATATAAATACATAAATAAGTAATAGAGAAGGGAAAGCTCTTCCATGTAGTTGGGAATGACAGAATTAGAAAATCAGTGTTGGCAACCCTGTAATAATTGATTCAGCAAGTTTGATGAGAAACAGGATATTTACATAGTCTCAAAGTATCTCCCTGCAATGTAAGTATTAATTACAAAGGGAAAATAGTGACTTTACAAGGGAGAAACCTGGCAGACATCAGCGTAACTGGGTGCTAGAAATTAGCACTCATCATAGTAAGACAAATAGATGTGTTGAGGGACACAGTATCCCTTCTGGACATTTGTCCCCAAAATGTAGAACCTGAACCTGACAAACCCAAATTGAGGGACACTCTAAAACAACAAAAAAATAGCCTTTACTCTTCAAAAAATGTTAAGGTCATGAAAGACAAAGATTGAAGAACGATTCTAGATGAAAATAGACTAAAGAGATGTGGCCACTGAATGCAACATGTGATCCTGCATTGAATCCTGGACTAGAAAATGTTTTCTTTTAAAGGACATTTTTTGGACAGTTGGCAAAAATTTGAAAAAGGTCTGTAGGTAAGATTAGATAATAGTATTGTATCCGTGTTAATGTTAAGATTTTTATAATTGTATCTGGGTTATTTAAGAGAATGTCCTTGTTTTTAGGAAATGTACCCAGAAGTACCTGAGGGATATCAAGTCTGCAACTTACTCTCAAACAGTTTGGAGGCGGGAAAGTGTGTGTGCGTATGGGTGTGTGTGTATGTGTGTATTGAGAGAAACCTGGAATTTCCTGCCCCCCGCCCCACAGAGAAGGCCCACACCCTTTTCCTCTGTCAGGCAGTTGGGCAGCTGTAGGAGGGAGATCTGGATTGGGGCTGGGTTGCAGCTAGTTAGTTTACAGTCGCCTCTGGTTTCAGCCATCTCAAGGGTGAGGTCCGCCCTGTGGATACATACTGGCCCCTCCCTCTAGCCTGACTTTGGGATCTCAGCACCACCATTTTACTGTCTAGGAAAGCCAGGCTTCTCACCTTGTTTTTCTTCTTTAAAATTATCTTGGCTATTCTTGGCCTTTTGAGTTTCCATTTAAATCTTAGAAGTGGCTTGCTAAGTTCCTCAGCGGCGTAACAGAATGGCTCCCATACTTGGCTGTATGTACCTTTAGCTGTGCTGTTTGTCTTCCAGCTTTGCAGAAGAGCTCGTAGATGAAGCTCTGGGGGCCGTGGCTGCTGAACTTCAGGATGTGTGTGAAGATTACGCAGAAGCCGTGTTCACCTCAGAATTCTTGGAGGCGGCTACATAAAGGCTGTCCAAGGCAGGGCCCCCAGTGTCACTGGTGAGGGGGCGGCACCACCCTTTCTACTAGCCACAGGAAATCTTCCTCAGCTGTCCATCCAGGCCCAGAAGGTGCTTCCCACTGAAAGGAAGGAAGTGCCAGTGAGGCCATCCTCACTTTGCATCTTCTCACTGTCAGAGCAATGGTTCTGGTAGTTTATGATGGAATGTGTTATATTTATCAGCGCCCAGGAAACGTGAATCAATTATGACAGTATAATATTTTCTGAATGTATAATTTTCCCATTGAAATACCATGTTCATTACACTGGCTCAGTTTGGCGATCGGAGCGTTTTGGAAGATAACAGATAAGTCTGTTTCACACAGGGATTCAAGTTGCTGTTGATCTGTGGGTGGCCTTGATGCCAGCACAAGTGCAATTACTCTCTGGTCCCATCACCTGGCTCGTGTTTGCTTCTTTGACAGTTTCCTACCAGGACACCTGTCCTGCCAGGTTACAGGCTTGTGTCGAGCACAGGACTTAGTTATGCTGCCCAAACTCTGCTCCATCATTAAAATAGGAACCCAGCAGTTATCTGTGTACAACAATAAACACACATTTGTCTAATTCTCAGTTGCTAGGTGCTTGTTCACATTTTGAGTTCCTCAAGTCTTTTGTCGCTGTGGGTTGACATATTCTGATATACAGAACTCTGAATTCAGAGGAAGTTTGAGGACGTCAGGAGAGGCCGGCCTCGCCTGGGGCCTGGTCAGAGGTACAGAGCTCACCCCCCTCTCTGCTGAGGTCACAAGTTGCTATGTTTCCACACCAAAAAGGAGCCTGTGTGGGAGGAGAAAACAGATCTGGATAGTGTGAAGACCACAGGGTCTCCCCCAAGAAAGGAAGAAACTTTAAGAACCACAATAGCTTTTGGTCCTCAAACGTCTTATAAGTCATATTTTACCAAGAGAAAGGCCTCTGTGTTTTCAGAAACTCTGGATTCAGAAAAAGAAAAGGAATGTGTATAAAATAAGGCCACTGCCTCATAAAAGTTTCCCTCACTTTTTTGCCTGGGGCTTGGTGAAAGAAATGTGGAGAACGAGTGACGTGAGACATACCCCACAGAATAATGTGAATCCTTTTGTAGCACATATAGTGTTGTCATCTGGGACTTTTCTCTGAAGAACAAGTATTTCAGGTGATAATTTAAGCTGCTTGATCACACTTATTTGTGCAAAATTGATTTTTGTTTAATGTTAATGTTTTCCTGCTTAATTTTGTATAAACTCAATTTAAAAGGCTTCAAGGGAAATTAAAGGTCCTCTGTTTGAGGACTTATATACGTACACTTGATAGGAGTGTCTGTTATTGATAATTTGTGTGGCAGTTTTTACTGTGCTCATTTTTTAAATAAACTCAGTATTTTAAAGTATGTACATGTCGGTTTGAAAAAATTTACATCTCCTTTTTTTTTTTCCAGGTAAAGTGAAATGTGATTTACAGAAACCACTGAGAATACTTTTATGTTTAATATGAGCGTAGTGGATTATTTGCTACCTCTCATCACCCCCAGAAAGAAATAAATGATAATAAAAGCTAACATTTTATTGAGCACATACTATGTACCAGGCATAGCTCTAAATGCCTTCCCTGTATTAACTTATTTAATCCTCATATCTGTGTGTGGTAGATACCATTCATATTCCCATTTTGTAGATGAATCAAATGAGGCACAGAATGGGGAGATAATTGGATCACATAAGCCTATATTCAGCAGCACCGTGGTCATGGATTCACTTACTCCCATAAAGATAGGTGTCAAAGTTTTGAGATGCACAAGTTTCACTCAAGTGCATTCTCCTGCCTCTTCCTGTGTCCGCTCAACATGTCTTAGACGCTGTTGTCTGGACCAGTCCTTTCCTAAGCACCTCCTGTCCGCTGAAGAGTCACGTCCAGACTCCTGTGCTTGCAGATCTTTCCAGTATCTCTCCTGCTGCTCCCACCGGCTGGGTCTCCCTGTCTCTGACTCCTGTGGGTGAGGCTTACACCTACCTCCGTGTCTGCTGTCTACTTTACAGCCCTGGCCCACAGTGAACCTCCTCGGCCAAAGCATTCTCCAAAGATGCAAAAATAAATTGCAAGAAATAAAAGCTTTCATTTGAAAATGGAAGTTGAATCCTTAAAATATAAATTTCCCTGTTTATAGCCTTGCAATTATCCCAGACCTCTAGAAGTTTTGTTCTTCATGAGCAAAGGCTGATCCTGTATAGGTTATTCTCTAATCCCCTCCAGTTTTCTCCTGACCTATTCATGTGTTATTTTCAGAAACAGAGAAATGCATGAGTGTAGTATTTCTGTGTTACATAGGCTGTCCCAATGGACGGACATGCTGAAATTCCTGATCTGTCCAGCTTCACAGTTCTGGCCCTAGGGGGTCTTACCTGTTTACATGCTTGCCTCTAGTCTGTACAGCTCCTTGAGGGCAAGGCCTCTGCCCAGCATGTAGTTAGTGCTCAGTAAATTCTTTTGAGTTGATGAAAGAAGGAAGGCACACTTTTTCCTGGGGTCGGTTTTGGTTTGGGATGGGGGTTCTATCATCACATCTCTGCAGAGTCCACAGAAATCTCTGTTAATCTTTTTTTTTTTTTTTCCTTTTTTGTGGTACGCGGGTCTCTCACTGTTGTGGCCTCTCCCGCTGGGGGGCACAGGCCCCGGACGG